GGCCTAGGAAAGAAGAAGCTCTGAAGTTAACAACACTGATTTTCTCATTCCGTGTACATAACCCGAAGTCATTTTTTGCACCGTTGGTGGAGGATGTCACAAGGGGTTGAATTTCAGAAGATGTTGTCGCTGTTCGCACTTCCCTTTGCTATAGATTCCATGGAGGTAAACGTAGGATACGTAAAAGCTGTGCACAGAAGAGGGTTGTACGAAGTGGTACGAAGAACATGGCTGGCCGAAAACACTACCGAAAACACTTGGAAGCTTGCGTTTGTAGGTTCTGCATCGCTATGTCTAGATGAATCTTTAATTTTAAATCCATTTTCACATCTACTATAAAATGGAATCCAGCTACCTTGATCGCATTTAGCTCCCCTTTTGCCAGGAGGGCAGATGCATTCACCGTCGGATGGGTCACAATGCATACCATTGGCGCAATCACAGCGTTGTAAGCAGTCCTGTAACGAAAATTGTCGTGAAATCGGTCAGCGTAATAGGATAAAGGGTCAATGAACTACTTTCAGCGAAATGGAGTTGCTGTTTATTGACTACATTAAGTGCTCGTATCTTCAGAGGCAATGAACACGATGGTTGGGGGGAGGGGGAGTTACTGCCAACGTCATTGGTGGAAGGGCTGCGTGAAAGCCTTTGGCCACACCCCATTCATCCCTTCCTCCAGTGAGAGTACAGTAATCCCCCGCCTCCAGTCATCGTGTCCACTGCTTTTGAGGAACTGTTGTACTTTTTTCAAATCTTTACAAATGAGTAAAGCAGTCCGTTCGGGGGGAGGGAGTAAGTTTCACCTTTCCATATGTTCCCGGCTCACATGGCTTCTCACAATTGTCTCCTGTCCAACCAGAGCGACATTCACATTTTCCATCCACAGGGCTACAGAGAGCTCCATTTTGACAGTCGCACAGCTTCATGCAGTCCGTACCGTATCTTCCGGCTGGGCAGACTGAAGTAATTGGTTCACCCTCGCAATGATACTCGCTGAACTTGAAACGTTTTTATCATTCTGGAGAGAGATCGAATTAGTGAGAGCAATGGGAATTTGGGAAAAGGCACTCGAAAGCTGAAAGAAGTTGTGCAATGCAACCGGGAGCGTATACGAACGAGACCCTTGCGCATTCAACATTTTCTCAAATCAAATCACGAAAGCCCACGTACTGCGCTGGCATCCATTCTATTTTTAAGGAAATGTATCTTTTTAGGAGTAGTGTAGACAATGAATCAAACCTTCACTGCAAGTCGCTCCATAGAATCCTGGCGGACAAATGCACGAGCCGTCTTTAGCATTGCACTCGGCCCCATTTTGGCAAATACATTCATGTGCGCAGTTTGGCCCATAAAGGCCAGCCGGACAAGCTGAAAAAGCTACGCTTTAACCCACGAAGTGACTTCATGACTTA